AACCTTTTTTTTAATTTTTTGAACGTTTGTGGCCCCCCAGTTTTTTAAGGGGGCCCCGGGGGGGGGGGGGGGGGAGGAGGCGCACGACCTTAACAAACGCAAGCGAGGTCCGACAGCCGCTACACCAACACAACAACCACCAGGGAAGAGGCCATGGTACCGTCTGTAGCACAGCAGCCAAGTGGCGGCAGTCACTCCCGCCTTCTCCGGTGTGGTAATTCCACACCTGTTACAGCAGTGTACAACGTCTCACCAGCTTGATGTAGCTCTCGATGGCGGCGTCGTCGAGGGCTGCCGTTAGCGTCTTCTTCGACCCATCCTCCGACATCATTCCGACCGAGTTGCACGCACGGAAATTGGCCGTGTGGCAGCCTGGTCCTCGACACGTCTGACAACAAATACCGGGGGAAGGGGGGGGGGCGTACTCTTTATGTTTTCCATGCCTTACCGGTTACCACGCGTCGTCGTCAAGACGGACGGAGCATTGTTCCCCATCATCGATGGCCAATCGTTCCTTCCTACTTTGCCAAAGGTGGGTCAATGATGTTTTCCCTGTCCAACGGTTGTTGTCAGTTGTCGCTCGTCATGTGGTATTTTTTCACGTAGCCAGGCGCCCCGTTCGAGACTACCCGCCATTCAGAAGACAGTGCAGAGACCGCATGAAAAAGGCGTGACCTTTCTTGCTCGCGGGTGTTCGCACGTCTTCGATTCAGCCAAGCATGGTCGGAAACATCTACGCTATGCGATAGGAAATGAGTTTCCTGTCGTGCTTTTAGTGCACCTTCACCTTCCTTGCTCTTCAGCCACACCATGATTCGAAAAAATACACGCACAACCCAAAGTCGACCAACCAAAACCTCGCGCGCTATGCACATGAGGTTTGCATGTGTTCATTCTTCTTCCTGCACTCCTATTATACTATGCTGCTATTGGTGTGATCCTCACACCAACAAAAATTCTCAAACCTCTTCCCGTCAGGAAATGAATCTTCATGGATAGACGCTCAGATTCCCACCACAGACCATAAACGGGGAACGACAATGGACGACCGGAAGGAATAGTGCCGGCAACTTGTGGACACCAGTGCCCACTCCTACACTAAAAACCATACAATTCCGTAAGGTTGCGAGTCAGCGCACAGGGGTGCCATCGATTCTCAAAGCGTTAAACTTATCCACAACCAGGAGGGTGCGAGCGCCAACTGATGATACTTCTCAGGAAAGCTCTCGATGAGATACTTCCAAAACCGCCCTGTTCGACAGCAGTGGTATTCTAACCTGCTGGTTGTGGAGAAAATTACGCTCTGAAAATCGTTCGCACCACCCCTGTGCGCTGACTCGCAACCTCACGGTATATCACTGCTGTTCTGAAATAGTGCCGTTGAATAGTGCCGTTGAATGCTGTGGGCACATCCTGTACGGGCACGAAACAGGGACCTCTGCCGCATCTCGCATCCTCGACAACTTCTTTGGGGCTGACTCACGATGGTAGGCGGGGTGACGTCGACGCACCCCTGTCCGGTGGTCAGACCGTCCCCGGCGTAGCCCTCGGCACAGAGACACTCGTACCCGCCATCGGTGTTGTGGCACTCCGCCTCCGGGGAACAGGCGTGTCGGAACTGGGGGTGCACAACCGGCAGGGGGGGGGGGGTCAAGGGAAAGGAGGCGAAAAAAGAAAACAGGAGTGGGAACCAAAATCTTGCGCACCCCGGGGCGGGGGGGGGGGGGGGGGGGCCCCGGGAAAAGGGGGCAAAAAAAAAAAACCTTTGGGAGGGGAAAAATTGGGGGGAAAAAAAAGGCCTTTTAAAAAACCCCGGGGCCAAACCCTTTGAAAAAGGGGGTTTCCCGGTTCAACGGCCCCAAAAAAAAAAAAAAACCCGGGGGAAAAAAAAAACCGGTTTATTTTTTGGGTGGGGGGTTTTCCCCCCCAAAAAAAGGAACCCCTTGGGCCCCCCAATTTGGGGGGGGGGGTCCCTTTTTTTTTCCTTTTTTTTTTTGGACCCTGGAAAAAACCACTTTGGGGCAAAAAAAACCAAAAAAAACAACCCCCTCCCCCCATTAAACCCTTGAAATTGGGGGAAGGGCAAAAAACCCTAAAAAAACAACCGGGGTTTTTTGGATGCCA